ATATGTATGTATATACTTAACTAAATACAGAAGTTAGTAAAATGATATTAAATTACATAAATTTGTAGAAACAGTATAAACATACATCTGATCAATGTAGACACCCTGTGACCTAGTCTCACTGCAATATTGTCATCCAGATTTTTTTGTTTTGTTAGTGATGGTGATTTGATAGAGGCACGTAGGCAGCAACAGTGGGCTTGTACACAGTCACTGCATTGAAGGGACAAAGGTTAACACTTATCGGCTATTTGGAGTCCCCAGGAACTGTAAACAAAGTGTTTTATCCCAAATAAATAAGAAGTCTGAGAGTTAAGGAGAATTAATTGGTTGTTATTGTAAAAGGCAAAGCCATGGCTTGTTGTTGTGGTCAGCGCAGGAATGTAACAATAAGCCCTCTTTACAGCTTGTGACAATCCCTTTATATTCACCAGCCAACAAGCACCGGGCGATAAGAAGAATGAATGAACATTTGCAATCACCCGGAGACATTTTGACATTTCTCAAACACCACAATGGCTGCGACACACTCAGTGTCTCACACTGTTGGAATCTGTTACTTTAAGCAAATATTGGTGAAACGTTTGAGGAAATGTATAGCAAACCTGTGGGACTACTTGCTGCTTTAAACTTCAGACAGTTGACTTCAGACACTTAGAGTAAGACAACAACGGAGACCAGCATATTGAATGTGACACTACACAGTTCTGTCATCGTTCCATATGCTGGGAAATATTCTCATTTTTTAACTGAGCTGATGATTCAGTGGTAGTAAATGGTGATTTATAGGTGAGATGAAGAACTTTCAAACTTTGTTAAGTTCCTCTAGTGTTTAGTAGACTTACTGAAATAGCAAAATCAATACAGCAGTTCTTTTGACTCTTGGTTTTCCATAGTTTGAAGAAATGTTGGCCTGTGTTCAGTCCATGTGCTATTACTTTGTTCTGAGTTTTGAAATGAACTCATAAGATATTACTAAAATAGATGGCAAAGACAAAATATATGCCAAATCCAAATTATGCCCAAAAGCTCCACTACAAGAAAAGTATGTCAATTAACTCTGTGTTGTGTGATTGACATGCAGACAAAACACTGATTTTCATAATTGTCACTCACTAATTTCCATTAAATCTTTGCCTACAGGGAACGCATGCCAAACACATTGCTTTAGTTTTGGTACACAATCCCAAAATATCAAAGGCCTTTATGGATGCTTTTATTAAGATTAACAAATATCTCTGATGTGTCAACCCATTCATTTTTTCCTCTTCTGCTTTTAAGACAACATTGCTTCAAGGTTTGTGCTGTGTCTCAATAATCTTGACACAAGCACATGCACAGTAGTACACAATCCTCCTTTGTAGTGTATGAGAAGTTTGTCCACTGTATCCACGCACAGTATGTAGCCCCAGGTAGCTTTAAAACTCCTACTACTGCAGTACTGTTTGTGGCTGCAGTTGGCTTTAAGAGGTGCTTTGACACAAAAGAAAAGCACAGACTCTCTCACCGTTCATCAGATTTTAGTCAACAGCGAATAGAGCGATGTCATCAAACCAGTTTGAGCAAGAATTTTAAGACATAAATCAAAAGCAAGTTGTGTAATTGCACTGCAGCCCCCCCTCGTGCTCCTCTCAGACTCGAGAGTGAACCACAGAAGGGAAGAGTGGAACCTGGGCCTCACACTGCCCGATTTCATAAGCTGGACTGACCAGTGTCGAAGTCGGGAAACCTTCTGAGCTACTTGTTGGTACCAGTCCAACTCAGCTTGATGGAAAAATTCACTTAATAATGGAAGCTTATATTTGGTGGCAGCCTGAATTGATTTAATTTATTTAACACCAGCCGGCAGTTGGAAATGTTAGCGCTGATTTGTCTGTGTAACTGCTAATGTGTCTTAATGTTTTGTTACGTATTGCATATTTCATACTTCACGCTAGCTCCAGTTCAGGCCTCTTATGTAGTAACATTACATTCAAGTCACAGAGGTAGGCATCCGTTTTTCTGAGAGATAAATACCTAGTGTTCTTTGAAAAGCCCAGAAAGTCATTACTGCTACTCTTTAGGTATCTCCAAAATATCTATCCTAACAATATGGATGAAAAAATACTGTGTCTGCTGCACCATGACATCTTTTTCAAAGTTATTTCTTTTGTTGTGCCATTGTTTCCCAACAAAAATGTCGGCTGGAAGTGACTCAGATGCTGTATGTAGAATTTGTACATTGTGGAACAAAACATAAAAGTTCATATTAATGTTTAGGTTATTTGATTTCTGTATTGCAAACCTCTCGCACTTTAAGGTGTATTGTTTTTAGCTTATCTTTTATATTTATGGTACTTATGTATGCTTTTTATTTGTGCGTTGTGGTGGTTTTCCTGTCTGTTCAGTTGCACTGGGAGCTCACCGAGGCAAGCTTTTCAAGTCAACTCAACGCAGTTCAAAAGTTTTATCACAAGCAATATTTGTTTATATTGATGCAGCATTGTATTATCTTGCTTTTTTCATACAAAACATTGTGTTTATATTCCTCTTGTCTTGTGTAAAATGAGCAAGGGAGTATGTCATTTCTGACAATCTGGATAGGAAACAGTTGAAACTTGGCAAACAGGTTGAGAATCTTTTTGTATGAAACAGCAGACACAGTGTTTTTTAATCTAGATGGTCAGAGAGGGTTTTGGAAATACCTTCAGAACAGACATCACAAGTTATTTATTTTACCAAAAAAAAAAAGGATGCTTAGCTCTTGAATGTAATGGCAATACATAAGACGCACAAACAGTTGTTTAGTTCAGCTTGGTGTGGTGTGTGGAGGTCTCAGGTGGTCGGGTTCTCAGACTGCAGCGTATTGTTGTACCATTATACCACATCAATTTATCAAGAGGGTCAAACAGCAGGGGCTCGCAATGAAGCCACCGGCAGCCTGTTGTTGAGTGCCACTCTAGCCAGAGCAGGTCTCATGAGCAGACAACAATCCAGCAACCTGGGACTCTAGATTTAAGCCTCCGGACAAGAAAAGCAATTGTAAGGTGATGAAACTGTCATCCCACCACCACCTCTCCAAAAAACACTCACAAAAACACCACACACAAACTGCCACTGCTGTCTGGAGATGACAAGAGTACATTTGACATGTGCACAATAGAATGATCTTTACACTTGTCACCCTCAACAATGTCCCAGTAATCCTGGTTGACAAGTTCAGGTTTGAAAATTATATACAGCTCGAAAATGAAGTAAATTGGAACACCTGCACTCTTGCACTCCGACCACACAGGCGCCTGACAAGGAAGCGTTGTTGTGTCACATCTTTACCCTTGACACCGTGCCCCTGTTAAAAGCAAATGTGCTTGTTATTGTGCTCTCACACTTAAGAGGTAATAATTACCTCAATGCCAACACTGGAAGCAAGAATAAAGTGTATGCGAGTGCAGCTGATGTGCAACTGAATCACCAAATGATCTTTGGTCCAGAGCCATCCATACACGATCCACTTCAAACAACCCCAAGAGGGAACTTTGTGGTTTTATAGGCTCTCTCTTTTTACTCCATTTCCCTCTATTTAAAGACTGAGGCCTGAATTACTTTGGTTTAATCTGATTCCCTGGACTGTTGTATTGTATTGTATTGTCAGTGTGCTGTACTTGCCATGTCACCCCTACCTAACAGCAGGCATATCTTAGAAACCCGCCCGCTCTGCCCCGGTCCTGCTCACAAGACATTTATAGGAGAGCCTTTAGAAATTTCCTAAGAAGTTTGTATCTCTTAGAGTTGTAGTAATGTCGCTGGTTTGACTGCTATAATACCTGATCCTGTGCAGTCAGAGATATGACAAACCTCTCCTAATTAACTTTAATTGCAGCATAGTGCCTTTCAAAATTAAATGGTTGTATGCAGACTTACTAAACATAGCCTCGAGCTTAAACATTTGTTGCAATTTAAGCTCATTTGCTTTTGATTTTACTTTTTTTTGTATTACATGTCATTTAATTCAGAAGAGAGAATGAGCTGTTGAAAGTTGTTTTCTGTGTTCACAACGTACCTTTAAAACCGACTGGTGATTAGGTTTTTACAACCCGTCTTAAAGTGGATTACATCACATGTCAGTTTGGAAACGGTGAACATGTATCTTGGTGACCTCGGCATATTGTGGATCTGCGGCTAGTTTTAGCCTGGGTTAGAAAACAGCAGAGCAGCGAAACCTTGAAAAGGGAAGTTTTGCAATCACCGAGTGTTTGTGTTCCTGCATGCTCATTGAGGCCTCAGTTCTCTCTCTCAGGCCAAGCGCTACGATACGCCATCAGTCTAACAACCTGTTAGACCTTTTACTGAATTGTGACATAGAAATTGTGCAAGTAGGATTAGAGAAGTCAGGTGTCAGATGTGAAGAAATTAACATTTTCTTCTTGTGGATGGATATTGTCTTGCAAATGTGACGAATTGCATGGATTTCCTTTATGTCGACTTCCGTTGTGTTCTGATTAAACTGTGAGCCGGACCACCTTCACGTGTCATCCAGTGGATCTGAACACACTCTAGCCGCTGCGACATTGAACAGGCAGTGTAAGAAGGGCTTCTGTTTGCAGTGCCCACTTCATGCGGTCATTATTTACACTAATGTGTAGGATTGCTGCTAACAGTTGCTAGCATTGTTGATTAAATGGTCGATTATTTTTTCTGATTAATTTTGCTTTACTTAAATTGATTTTATTTTTATTTTTATTGGGTTTTTAAATGCCACTTTAAGGCATTTATTTCTGTTTGGAAAGTACTTTAGAAATCAGCTTTGCCTTGTCTTGTTAGTAGCATATATAAATTGTTGGTTTTGGTTCTTCCTTTGGATTTATAGGAAATCATCATACTACTCCTTTTTAATTAACCTTAAAAGTTCATCTGTCTCGGAGCTGCAGGCTGTGAGAGACTTAAGTCAATATCAATCTGCCCCTCTAATGACTCTAATTGTCGATTCAGAGCACTATGGCTGTGTTTTCAGTCTTGTCTGGCTCAGATTAGGTGATGTATGGAGAGCTGGAGCTGGCCTAGTCACCATAGTAACCTTTGTGAGGTCTCCCAGTTTGTTCTCTTTCTCAACAATACAGAGAACATTTAAATTCTGGGATGCACCCGGTTTGTTTTGCTTGAGTTGTGTCATGTCGTCTCGGACTGAATTTCAGCGCTTTACGCCAGAGCAGCAAAAAACTTTTTTTTAAAGTTCCTATTTCTGCCAAAGTTTGATTCCTTAACTAAGTGTTCACACATGGAGAAGTCAGATCGGCCAGTTCTTTCTTTGCCGTGGCTCTAAAATTCCTGACTTACACACCAGGGCTGCCATGTTCCAGTTTCCAATGTGAGCCACTATTGGTGCGGCCGGTGTGTATTAGATTCTCTATTGGGAATGCAGTGCTAAAAATACTGGCCTGGCTGAAAGTGTACACTGATAGAAGCCCGGACTCACCGCCTTGTGATGATTCGCTTTCTCCACAGGGTCACTCAGTACTCTGCTGGTTGACTTAAGAGCAACTACAGAACCACTTTCCTCTTGTACTGTACACTGCTGAGGGTCTTTGTCTATTAAAGTGTTTTGTTTGAGTGTGTGTGGAGTCTTGTATTAGGAATATGAAGGCTTGTTGTAGTTGTAAATGTGTCCCTTGATGGATCTACTGTAGGCTACAATCGCTGCAGACTCCTCTGGCAGTTACCATCAGTTTGATCGGAAATGTTTCATTTGGAGGTTGATGTGTTGAAATTACAGATTTGTGGCATGCCATTCATGCTTAAAATTCGGCTGTGGACCCAAGGCCACAAAGAGAGCTGCAGATTTAAATATAGTTTAAAAAGAGAAATGTACTTTCAACGAGCCAAGTTCCTTTTAATAGCATGCAGTTAAAACCCATGTTAGGACATTTTGTGTTTATTTTAAACAAGCCTCAAAGTTGTAGGCTGAACTGTAGATAACTGCTGTGGAGCAAGCATGCTGGTTAAGGTCATGGAGTGAAAAGCTTGTTGTTTGGACACTCAGTGATTGGACACTCTGTGTGTGTGTGAGCTGGTTGTCTTGTACTGTTATGTAACAGAAGGTGTAAAATGAGCTGCTGCCATAAAGAGGTGCACGCCTAGCTGTTATACCTCTTCCCCACATGGCCAACCAGTTGGCCTGATGCACCCAGCTCAACGGTGGGTTGGTTGGTAAACAAAAACAGTCCACTCACCAGGCAGCAGCACACCTCCAGCTGCAGCCGTGACTTGTGAACTGTAAAATTGGGCCTGGAATGTGCCACATTACACCCGTGAAGGAAAACATCTTTATGACCATCATTACTTGTGTTATGTCACACAAAGCATATGCTTAAGAGTTTGGCTTATATCCAGAGCAGAGTGTTGAGGATATCCTCATTACTGTCAGATCTCTTCGTACAGAACCCCCTGAGTGTAATAGTGTTTAATGTATTATGCAGGAGGATTCAAGAGCACTGTACTACATTATCAGGGTTCCCACGCGCCCTGGAAAACCTAGAAAAAATTTGACAAATTTTCCAGTCATGGAAAACACATGGAAAATGAATTGAAAAGGTTAAATGTCCTAAAACTTCTTGTAAAATGTCTCTTAAAAATGTTTCAAACTTCTCCTTTTTTCCTTTAGCTGAGAATGAAATACTAGGCTATCTATCAGAGTTCCCCAAAAGTTACGTTCAGGATCATATTAACATTCAAATGGTAGTTTATGTATGTTAAGTATTTTTAATAGGTGGCTTTCAGTTATGTTGTGCAAACACTGTGACAATATAAACTTCGAATGGAAATGTCCTGGAAAATGATCTCAAGAAATGATAGTCTTGAGTTGCAGTGTAGTTGGCATTGATCCAGAGCTGAAACAATGAGCTACTTAATCAATTAGTTGATTAAAAGAATTCCTCAAGCATATCTAGAATCGATGAAGTATTTTCTTGAAGCAACAAGGGCAAAAATGCATCTAGCATCCCAGATGTGGGGATTTGGTGCTATTCTTTGTTCAAGTCAGTTTAATTTGATTTATATAGCCCAATATCCCAAATCACAAATTTGCCTCAAGGGGCTATATATCATTGTTAAATGGGATGTTATTGAGTTTGAGGCTGTTGGTTGAACAAATCAAGTAATTAAAAGACAAATTGTGCGCAGCTTTGTTCACTATTGTCTGATATGACTGATTGACTGACATTAGTCCCTTGTGTTATTGTGATACAGTAGAATTTAAAATGATTGAGACAGTTAAAATGTAGTTAAGGAATTTCCCATCAAACAGGATCATGTGTCTGGGTGAGGACTGACAAAGCCACAGATCTACTACTGGTGCAATACTTGACCATCAGTGCTTGAATTCGCCTCCCAGACAAATATTTTTAATGTATTAGCTAATGTTTTTTAGTGTCTTGAGTTACAGAAGCAACTCCACAAATCAACTCAGCGTAACCAAGGATGAGCACAGCCTCACACTGATGACAGCACTCCATATTAGACAGTGGCTCACAGCCAGATATGTGGTTGCTAAACAAAATGTCAGCGAAGATGGTCTGGTCTTCATCAAAGCCAGAGACATAACCACATATTTTTTAGTGAGATACCCCCTCTAATTACCAAGAGATCTATTTATTTTCCTCCTTGAGACCGTGTCTGACTTCTTCAACCCTGTTTTTCCAGTTTACAGAGCAGACATCTTGCCTAACGCATCAGTCCCGTTTAGCAGTTGGAATCCGCCAACAACTACACAAGATAAATTGTCTCTTGGAAGGTCTTTTATTGTTCATGTCCGAGAGTCATAACATTTCCTATTCATAATGCAGTATTGTTTAGTAACCCCTGAGACATAACTGTACATCTCAGCCTTTCCACGTTATATATTTGAGCCATGTTTTTATTTGTTTTATGAGTCATACATGAATGTTTTTAAGAACATGTGTCTTTTCTTTTGTGTCTTTTTTTTTTAGTTTGTCCAAGCAAGGACATCCGCAACAATGTGACCAACCTACATACGCTAGAGAACTGCACTGTGATCGAAGGCCACCTGAAGATCTTACTCATGTTCAGGACCAAGCCTGAGGATTTCCGGGGCCTCAGTTTCCCCAAACTGAGGGTGGTCACTGACTACCTGTTGCTCTTCAGAGTTTATGGCCTGGAGACCCTCAGTGATCTCTTCCCCAACCTAACTGTCATCAGAGGCAACAACCTGTTCTTCAACTACGCCCTTGTGATGTTCGAGATGCTCCAGCTGCGAGAGATCGGTCTCCATAGCTTGATGAACATCACCCGCGGAGCAGTGAGAATCGAAAAGAACCCAGATCTGTGCTATCTCTCCACTCTGGACTGGTCCAAGATCCTAGACTCAGTGGAGGACAACTACATCATGGCCAACAAGAACGACAGAGAGTGTGGAGACGTGTGCCCAGGCGCAGCCATCGGAAAGACCACCTGCCAGACCACCACCATCAATGGACACTTCAGTGAACGCTGCTGGACTCAGAACCACTGTCAAAGAAGTAAGCAGTCTTCTGTTATAACTCTCATGTTATAAATTATAGAGCTGCAACAATTAATCTATTAGTTGTCAACTTTTAAACAATCATCAACAAATGTATTAATCAACTGGTTTTAGAGGAATCAGGGTCAAATCTGATTCCAGCATCTGAAATGTGAATATTTTCTGGTTGCTTTCCTCCTCTGTGACACTAAACTGAGTATCTTTGGGTTGTGAACAAAACAATTTGTAGGAGTCATCCAGGGCTTTGGGGAAGCACTGATCGATACCAAACAACTTAACAATTAACCAAGAAAATAATTAACAGAATTATCGACAACAGAAATAATAGTTAGTTGCACCTCTTTGCTCCCTGTGATTTTTTTATGGGAGACATTGAGTCATACAATCTGCAAACAAGCAGCAGTTCTATCTAGCTCTGATCCAGGACCATAACATAATACTTCATCTCACAGTCCTGGATGGCTGTCAGAGGGAATCCGAACATTACAGACACTTCGACATTTCTACAATCTGGTTTGAAAAGAAGAGCGAAGATAACTATTCACTGGATGGAATGCATTCTTCTTAGCAATATATATAATGCTTTATAAATGAGACTATGGTTTTATACTAAGGCCCTGTTTAGGCGACAACGGTTTCTCTAAAAACGGAAAAGTCTGTCCTTTGTGTTTTAAAAAACTTCTGCATTTATATGACGACGTTATTGAAACGATCCTCGTTCACACGGAGCCGCAAAATCTACTGGAAACACTGTAGTATGCACGCCAGGCCAATGGGTGGCAGTGTAAATTTGCAAAGCACCACCAAGGCATGACACCCTGAGCCTGCGCTGAAGCACTTTCCTCTACAATGCAGTGATTACAAACCAAAACAAAGAAGACACAATGGCGAAAGCATGCACAGATAACTTTGTCTGGATGGACGACGAGGTGGAGTTGCTACAGTAACAGATCTACACTTAACTTCAAATCAACAGGGTGAGCAGCACAAACAGAGCTTGGCATTGTTGTTGTGACGGTCGGCATGCCTAGTGACTGGAACTGTAATGCGCATGTGCAAAAAGTCTCCATTTTCAGAGAAACTGCATACTGCAAGTTTACATGACAACGGAGACGCTGCCATTTCCAAAAAGTTGCACTCTGGAACCCGTTTTCAAAACGCTGAATTTTCAGGCACCCAAAACACCGCTGTCGTGTAAACGATCGGCCAAAACGCAACTAAAATTTATCGTTTTCAGTTGAAATCGTTGTTGTATAAACGGGGCTTAAGTTCACACTACACGACTTTCGAAGTCGTTAGATCGCTGTAGTGTTCACCCTACACAAACTGCTGTCTTGTAATTGGGAGCCATAAAATTGTGGTGGTTTTCACACCACATGACTGTCCGGTGACAGGAGGTCACACACAGCAAGATCTTTCATCAGGAGGAGTCCCCAGTGATTATGTCTAGTGTCCAAGCTATGTTTTGGCACGAAAATACTTGACTTTAGCTCACCAACAGGTCCCAAGCAGGTCCAGATATATAGCTAAATGCTAGATATCTGGGTTGTGTCTGCAATGCAACGGCGGGCCTCTCGACTTGTGCCTTTGAACAGTTCTCACATAGCGCTCAAGCACTAATTTGCAAGCATCAAGCCAATGCCAATTTGCCTCTAAACTGGGGTTTTTGTCAGGGAGCTCCAAAAACCGTTGACAAGTGGAAAATCAGGACTAAATTTGTGTAGTGTGAACTATGCATTAATCAGTGGTGTTACTACAGACAAGTTTCCAGCCACCAGTGACAGCACTGAGCACGCTGGAGCTGCAGCAGGAGGTGGGGAAGAAATTCTGCTCCATCAGTAATTTAACATGGTTTATATAGACTTCAATAAAGCCACCACATTATTGTCAAATTAATTTTTCTTTTTGGGTGCCTGACACATTTTTTAGTATGCGTATCAGTTGCTAATAAGATTTTATCCATTGCCCTCCACAAGTTTAATGAATGGAGTGCTTGAAATGTTTGGATTCCCTCTAATGGCCACTGTGATATGTGTAACTGTCCTGGATCAGGACTAAATACCACCAAGTACTAAAACAGTTAATTGTTTATAGTTTTTATAATTGAATATTGGATGAGGCCAAAAAATTAGCTGGTTTCAACGTTCAACCTCAGTGTCAAATGTGGGTATGTGCTGCTATGATCCTTGTTATGATTGTAAATTCAATATTCATAAAATGGTGGTCCAACAAATTAAGCAATGTGGACCCTTCAACAGGTGGATTTTGCTTAGTTTCTTTTCCCATATTTGTAACACTTGTTATAATTGAGAAACTCAAACAGTTACATTATTGTCTTGTGCATTTTGCATATGACTAGTAGTAGCATATTTGTGTAGATCTGCTTTCCATCAACACATCATTATTTTCACTCCCCTTCTCCCCTTCTTTAGCCACACGTCCAACTGGTCTAACATTTACAGAATTCAGCTCTCCATTTGGACCAAATAAAAGCTCATGAGGGTCAATGTTTGAAACAAAAATAGTTCTTTGTTTGTTTCAGAATGGACTGACTTGCAGCCTTAAAGTTGTTTTGCCAAAAGTGAGTTATGTCCCTTCTTTAGTGTTGAAATGTGAGAGCTGCGTCATGTGCTCAGGTTTAGTTAAGTAGGCCAACTTCTGTGTCAATGCAGCTTGAACTGTACTCTAATGTGACGCAACACCTCGCCAGTTAGTCTTTGAATGTTTACTCTCAATAGACTGTAGTGTTGTCGTTGCTCATGATGTGTGAAGGAGGTAAAGAAGATATTAGACATCGTGGCATGTTTCCCATTGTCCCCCCATAAGCACAGCCCCTGTGACATGGGCCCTTGTGTGCTGACTTTTACTGTAAAATGACAAGCCCACCCATTTCACACTGCCAAAGAGTTCAAGTTCGAGTACTGGGAAGAATTTTGCGCATGGGTGCTGTCTGAACACCTTGGCTCGCACCATTACGCAACACTGCATGCGTTAGTTTAACAGCTCTTTTGAACGAGATTCCTTGCACATGTCTGCCTTTTGAGGCTCTTAGCAATGTTTGTTTGGTGTGGCAGTTTCTCTTGAGCTGAGCGAGCTCCATTATTATGCTCTTCAGTCCCCGTGCCACTTAAGAGCGTTGTTTTTTTTCTTTTTAAATAGTTTTTTACACTAATGACTTTGTGCTTTAGGTGACTGCTCATAGTCATCACAAATCCTTGAAGGCATTTTTAGAACAGGACCAGAAGGCCTATTGCCAAATTGTGGCGAAGGCGGAAGTGTTTCATAAAAAGTCTCACAGCAGAGACAATTTCCTAATTTTGTGCCATTCTCTGACGATGAATCAAGACCAAACGTTGACTGGCAAGCACAGTCATGGGCCTGCATTCAGCACGGGCAGGGCCTGTGGTCTTGAGGTCTGGGACCTGCGGTTTTTTGCCTACTTTCACTAAAGCATGAAAAGATCTGTTAAGCCCCAGCTAGAACCGCAGGACAGAGTGCAAGGCATTCGGTGTCCTCTTCAGATGTACCCTGTTACTGCTTTTTATAGACCTACTGTAGTTCTTAAAGTAAGCTGCTTCTCCCAAATTTGCTGCATTCTTTATATCTATACACAGCAAGTCTCTTTTAGTTCTCATAATTTTGCTATGCAAAATGTAGGCAGTGGTTAAATTTATACTACGCAGGATTGTCGGTTACTGTTTGTAAACACACTCGCCAGCGAAAACGAAAGTGAAAGTTCACCCCAGAATCATTTTTGTCAGACGTTTTGCCAAGGAGTAAGGTCCACAAACGGGAACGTATGTTCGCGAATAACTTTTGATAGGAAGGTGGTATAGACTTGAAACTAAACTTTACACTCCCGTTTTCGGCCCTTCTGCATCAGTAGAGCCCACCCGACCTTCAAGGACATTGGGAAGTGGGTGAACTCGAAACTCAAGGAGTCAGGTCCAAAAATGGGAAGGTATGTTCGCAAATAACTTTTGATAGGAAGGTGGTATAGACTTGAAACTGTGCCTTTTGGATCTGTGGCTCTTGCCTGTTAATACCAATCTGGCACCTGGTCGCTACCTTTTTATAAAGTCCTTACCTCACGTGGGCGCAGTGGAAGTACACCCCCATATTCGTCCCAAACACAGAAAGTAAGAATAACATAAGAGAATTCAAATGGAAGGCAGATTCTCTGCAGGAAAATACATAGCAACGCTCCTCAAGTGGGTCATAAGTTATGATTGAGAGGGAATACTTCTGTATGAGATACATTTTTTTTTTTTTAGGAAAATCCTGCATGGTATAGCTTTAAGTGCTGTTTAAGTGCCACAGGTGACTGCGGGTCACACACACTTTCTCTGGTCTGTACACCAGCAGAAAACAAAGCTGCAGAGCCACAAGGCTTGGCTTAGCTCCCATGTTTGGAGTCACAACCCATTTCCCTTCCCTGCCTCTGTAACAGGGGTAATTTGAGCTTCTCTCCTAATTTCCCCCTCCTTTTTACACCAAATTGGGTGCGTCTGTTAAGCAAAGTGGCAAAGCAAGGTTGCAGGAGACGCTCATTACTAAAGCTGATTAGATTTGGCTACAGGCACACACACAATACACACAACATGTAACAACTGTAATAGTGGTAAATACAAGACATGATCCTGCAAAGCATCTCTCTCATCTTGGCAATTAACTCTTTGAAGTTGTGTACAAATTATGTTTGATATATGTCATGGAGTTATAAAGATGAATGCCAGACAAACACACTAACAAACCAGACATTCATACAAAAAAGCTTTTCTAACAGAGCTTGAGCACTTAGTGATTACTGTGCATTTTAGAGGCTTCTGTCATTGTGTCATGTCACAGATTACTTGTTGGACAGTGTAACATATTCATATATTGTATGGGTTAGATGTTTTGACCACTTAAACTACAAGTTAACACTGTGCAGTAGTCAGCCAGTCAGCAAGAATGTGACTTTAGCGAGCATCACTAGACTGATAAGTTAAATTGAAG